CCTCGTAATAACCTCATGGTTATAACCTCATATGTTACAACATATTATGGAAAAACAATATCGCTGTTACACAGCTAGGAAAAGCAAAAACAAAATTATTAACTGTTTCAATTTAAAATTGGTGTGGGTACCACACTCACTAAATAGATTATAATTCAGAATATTGATTGCATATGCTCATTATTGTAATAATTTTAATCGAGTAGAAGTGGACATTTATTGCATCTTCTAAATTGATTGGTATACATGTTCACCTGGTATATATCATGGCCGGTTAAGTTTGATTGTATAAGTGTTTGGCTTTTTTTTTGCTTCACATTACTATGTTGGCATTTGATTCTGATAACACAGCATAATGGCCACGAAAGTAGATAAACTGCAACACTGTGTCGGCCCAAAGGAATAATTTCAATCTAAATTTCCATTTAGCTCTGATAAGACTTGTTTCGGATGTGTCAGTGAGGACGACGTTTTATGCTCGATGGGAAGGGTATACTTATTGCACCCTTATTTATGCGAAATTGAGAACATATATATTTGTTTGTATGTTGGGTACAACAGCTCCGTGCTCCTGTTCATTTTATTAGTCTTTTAATGTTTTGCTACAAGCATAGGTGATATTTAATCATAAATGCTGTCTTTTTGTCACTAATCCCTATATTGATTAATGACTATGATAGTTAATGACGTAACGATTACACGTCTGTACAGATTTAATCACAACATATCAGACTATTAGACCATTTAGAATTGATTTGTGTTCCACTAATTCAGGTTACACCTGCTGTGTGTCATTACCAGGAAAGTCCGCTAAATCATTGCCTGTCGTTGCGTCTATACTGTTTGATGTGGTGATTAGAATATATATTGATAAGATAATAGAAATGTGCAAAATCTAATTGCACTAGTGTCTCCAATGCACGTATGGATCATTACTTTACCCTGGCCTAATACACGTAACTGACATTGGATGATAGATTACAATGGTAATGTATATTTCCGATATTCCATTACAGTTTTAATTACACCCAGTACGCACATACATAAACACTGTAGACGATGAATTGTTCGAGTTACGGACACCGAGTTACGGAAACATCGAGTTACGGAAACATCGAGTTACAAAAATGACCACGCCCATATTTCAGAAACCAACCCCACTTTTGCGAAACCACACTGAAATTGTAACTCGATGTTCAATTAACAGTTAAACAAATTTTGAGTTACGGGCAACATATATTTATATTTTTGTTTAAACGTCTACATATAGCAATTCGAACTTTAAGTAACAGTTAACCGAACTCCGAGTTATAGGCAACATATCTTTTTTTTTTTTTTTAACGTTCAAATTTAGTAACTCGAATTTTTATTATCAGTTAACCGAACTTCGAATACAGATATAAATCGTTAAACAAAACCAAAAATATAGGTTGCATGTAACTCAAAATTCGTTTAACTGTTAATCAAAGTTCGAGTTACTAAACGTGGAAGTTCAACAAAAACAACAATATATGCATCCGTAACTCGAAGTTCTGTTAACTGTTGAATACGGGCGTGGACATTTTTGTAACTCG